TAACACTTTATAATATGGGTACAAATAACATACTTAAGTAATACTTACTAATGCATGACTCATGATGATTTAGAGCATGAATAAATGCAGGATGTTTCATAAATTCCTGTTGCTCACCACTAACAAATGATAAAGTCACTGTGACATGTGTGATTAGTTCATAGATTATCAGTCAAGGAATGTTAATACACAGTTACTTTATACATTAATTGATATGTGACCAAAATTAGATAGATTCCTCTTAGATAGAAAATATTTTTTTAAGGACCTTTTATCCCCTCAAACTCTGTTATTGAAAGAAATAGCTTTATTTTTCTCTGAGAAAATACCCAATGGTATTTTTGACACATTTACAACATAGTGGGTGAAACATAATTATGTTTGTGTCTTTGGAAGCAGCGGAGCTTACACGTGACTGGTAATTCTTCTCAAATGTGTCCATTATGTTGTAAATGTGTCAAAAACACAATTGGGTTCATTCTCAAAGAAATATGGAGCTATTTGAAGCTGAGCAAGTGCATGGTCCTGAAATAAACTTTTATGGTAACTGAAATCCTGCTAATTTTGTTGCAGATCAATAAATGTATGAATTAACATCCCTTAACTGATGATCTATAAAAAGTGAACTAATCACAAAAAGTCAGACTGACTGGATCATTTGATCGTGGTGAGCAACAGGAATTCATGAAACGTCCTGCCTTAAAGAGTCATGCATTAAATCATCATGAGTCAGGCTTCAGTTAAAGTATTACTTAAGTGTATGATTTATCATTTATAGAAATTAAGTTGTTTCAGTTTTAACCCCGCCTGTCTCTGTGCTTCTCTGTGTCTCTCTGTCTACCTGTCGTTTCCTGCCAGGTGTGTCTCTCGTGTCCCTCCAGTCCAGAGAGAAGCCGAGGGGCTGCGCCGGCTGCAACGGGAAGATCCGTGACCGCTTCATGCTGCAGGCGTTGGACAGGTACTGGCACGAGGACTGCCTGAAGTGTGCCTGCTGTGACTGTCGCTTGGGCCGGGTGGGCTCCACCCTCTACACCCGCGCCAACCTCATCCTCTGCCGCAGGGACTACCTGAGGTAAGCATAATCCCTCTACAGGTGTATCTGGACTGGAAGAGGGAAAAGAAAAAGGCCGGGTGCATCATGCAGCTTCAGAACAAATCATTTCCCAGAAATCAATGCTGTTGTCAAGTATATTAATAATGTTAAAGTAGGTAAAGAGCTAGCTGACAGATCCATTCAGGATCTTAGCAAAAGGGAACAGGCTGTTAATTAAGGGTTTTCAGAGAAACTGTGGGAACAAAGTTTTTAACTTGAATCTGAGAGTTGAGAGAATTGGCACCAAGATTGTACCTGGAAAATGTACAAATACAAGAAAGCATGTACCATTACAACAGAAAACAGCAAAACAGCTTTCAGTTAGCTTGCAGCCACATTTCACAAATTGTTTCTTACTATAAAACCTCAGTGAATAAATCATATTCGAATCCAAGCATGTTGTACACGTTGTGGATGTGCTTCTCCAGTCTGTTTTGACTCCTCATATGGCATAGTGCTTTAAAGTATTTAATGGACACACACCTTTCTGCCCTGTACTGTACTTGTAGGGTTAGGTGTTTTTCTCTTAACCTTTTTAATGGTTAACTTTTGTGCCAATTTGACTGATTTGTCAGACATTAAACAGTAAAAAGAGAAAGAAATGAGAGAGGGTAACGTTGGAGGGGAGAAACAGACAAGAAGATGAGATAATGCATCATGCATCCGATGTTAAGGAATAGTTTGACATTTTCTTTGCTGAGAGTTAGATGAGAAGATTGAAATCACTCTCTTGTCTATGTGGGATATGTGCCATTGGGGCCAGCAGCTGGTTAGCTTAGCTTAGCATTACGACTGAAAACAGAGGTAAACAGCTAGCCTGCCTGTTGGCAAGTTGCCGTTTAAAGGAGGTACTATACTGGACTATGTCCTGGCTGAGATCACTTCTTAGTCTCTGCTGGTTGCCTGGCAACTGCTACCAGGCAAGTAATAAAAAGGTGAATTGTTGTTTTTACATTTAGAATTAATAAAACAAGAGATATAACATGTTAATTAGGTTGACTTTACAGGTGCTGGCAGGTGCATTTGTTAGCTTTGAAGACAGCCAAGCTAGTTTTTCCCCCATTTACAGTCTTTTGTACTAAGCTAAGCTAAGCTAAGCTAACTGCCTCCTTGCTCCAACTACATATTAAATGGTATGACTTCTCTTTAAAGTCCCCCCCGCCATTCAAAAATCCTTTTTTTCTTGTTCCTACAGTGTGATGTTTTGAATGGTGTCTGTGCAGAGTTTGACACTAGAAGATGTCCACATTCATCTGCTGAAAGTGGAAAGTTTCTCTGTTGAAAATTTGATTTTAAGCAGCAGGGGCCTACGAGCATGATTTGGGACATCAAAAATGGTTTGGAAGTCAATCCTGGTCCAGTATGCAACTTGTGTGATACAGAAACCTGAAGCCACCAGTGCACATACACTGAGAATGGACTTCACAGTGAAATAGGACACATCTTGTGTCCAGCAGGAAAACTTCTAATGAACAAAATTTGAATATTCAGAGATTCTGGCTTTATTGCGGTAGAGGGAGTAGATGACTTTTTAAGGATTTGTATGTGGAAATTAATTATTTTTTGCAAAAAGAAAACATACCAGACACACATTATTGTTCAAGTAGACTATTTGTACATGTCTTAATACATAATAATACAAATGATCTTTTACTTTTGGGAAGGTAGTTAATAAGCAAATTTCCCAAAAAACTATTGCTTTAAGTACATAACTGCAAGTCAAGGAAACACCCCACTGAAGCGTCCACTATGCTTGTACCAACAGTATCTGCCATGAAATAAGGCAGGAAGTTTATAACATTAACACACTTTGAACCACTTCAAACACTTATACACTTTATAAACCCTTCAGAGAGAGGGATACATGTTTTTAGATTGTCTGAACTCCTCCTTAATCAAATTCTTTGGAGCAAGGTTATTCATCATGTGACCTCTAGTGTCTGTGAATCAGTACACAATTCATTTCATTTATTTAAAGTATGTTTTATATATACTAGAGATTAAAAGAGGCTTTCTACCTTTACAATCTTTTGACCATGATTCTCGATGACACCACTTTTATACAAACCTAAGCCTGGCTCAAACTGCTTTTCTGAGAGTTATATAGCCTTCATTTTCTTCCCTGAAATAACGAGGTCTGGTGTCAGGTCAGCAGGAGAACTCCTGATATCTCAGCCACATTGCTGAACTCATGTGTTAGTCTCATGTACAATCCAGCTGGATTTGGTTGGAGCTAAGTCTCTCATTAGCTGCGCTGCACTTAAGAGACCAAAACCCCTTTTGACAGTTAAATTGGCTAGATTGCCTCCTGTTTTCCTCATCATTGCGAGGGTGCAGACCAAAAGCCTTTGAAGAGCAGGATTAAAACCATGTGATTTCTTTTAATTGGACCATTAGTAGAGAATTAGCATTGAGTTTCGTAGCCTCGTTAAGGAGAAGGAAAAAACCCACTAGGTGCCTGCTCAGGACTCAGGCTCGTTAGATCGGAACATTCGGTTAATTAGGACTCTCTTTTGTTCCAGTGCTGGTCACTCGTTTGATGACGTTTTTCATTGTCGTCCGAGGCTCTGGGATACACACGCTCTACGCTTTCCTCCCTCCTTCTGCGGATGTCGTTTTTCATAACGGTTCCTCCCGAACCTCCTTTTTCTATTGAGCCTTTAATGGAATATGGAAATCAGCAGCGGCCACTTATCTTCATGTGTGTCAGGCTCTTAGGGAGCCGTTTGTTCCTTCTTTTGGAGGTGAATGAGAGGTGAAGCAATCTGCAGCTGGTCAGCAATGAGTCACAGAGTATTTCAAAACAACATGGGATTTGTTCGCAGGTAGTTTGAGGACATAGTTCAAATGTTGTCAGATGAATTGTTAGTTTCAGAAGGGTGTAATAAATTAACTCTCGAGTTCTCAAGCACTAAAGTCACGTAATGTCCCGTGATGAAAAAAACACCCATCTGGTTCTTAGATTAAGTGACATTTTCATATAAATTTTGACATTTTCATATCAGCAAATCTCCATTTCGCTGCTCTTTATCTGAAGCTGATAAAATGCAAATGTGATCCGAGTCATATCTAGATTATGAAAGCTTTTACATTTAATACTCACTTCACTTGTGAGAAAACTCTCATGGTTCACACATTTGAAGTTTCCTACAGCAGCAAAAGAGGTTTGTGTAGTATAAGTGAAAACAAAAAAGTAGTAATCTTGCCTTCACGTAATGTTGACATGTTGAATAGGAAAAACATTGTTACCACATGGGAGTGTTCTTACGTTATTCCAAGGTAGCTAACTGCATTGCTTGGCCTTTGATCATAGATACCAGTGGGAATGGAGCCTAAATTGACACGTTTAACTAGATAAAAAATACACTGAGAGTTTGACACCAAAGAATGAATAAGCAAGACATCAGGAGGTAACTGGTTATTTGAAGAACTCTAAATCTCACACTAAATAGTAGATAATGATGAGTTATTAGAGAACAGACTTTAAGATATGATATAAAACAGTATGCGAGAATACCTAGTATCCGTAAAGCTGTGTACTAATCAGTAGGCTATGATGGATCGCTCTTCTTGAGAGTGAATATTTGAACAAAAATCAATGAGGTGTTAGTTTTGTGCTGCTCAGTTGCCAGAAAAAGATGATCAATAGGAAGTGGACAGTATGTAGATTCACAGATTTAGGAGAAAATCATTAAAAACTTGTCAACGTAGTTCCACAGTCTGTTCTTGGTAACAGTTCCGGGTTTGTCACTTGTTCCTGTATAATGACTCAAAATGTTGTGTTCTGTACTGTATAGTGATACCAATACACTGTCTAGGCTATATAGCTAGCTCTTGTTCACGTTTGTGGCATGGCTCTATGGATTGCAATGTTGGTGTGCCAACTGGTCCAGACTGAAATATCTCAACAAGAGTTGGATTAGAGTGCCGTGGAAATACAGGCATGGTCCCGAGTGGATGAATCCCTGATGACTTTGGTGAACCTCTGCTTTACTATGATGGTGAACATGGTAAAAATTATACTTGCTAAACATCATCATTGTGAGCAGGGCAATAGACTGTGTTTTTTATTATTATGTTTTTGGGGGGCTTTTATGCCTTT